AAAAAAATGTGGGCTGTAGACACGACTCTAGGACTAACAGTTTTAAGGCATAAAGCAAGCCACTTGGTACTCAGACTTCTCATTTGCGGAAAGATTTAGGTCATTCCCAGTATTCCTTTATTCCACAAACAAAACTCTCCATGAGGAGAGGAGTTTACAACACCATAAATGTTATATGCCAAGCTTGGTGTTCCTTAGGACAGTGCCTGGCATGTGGTAAAAGCTTAACAAACAGGGGTTACATGAATGAATAAATAAACTCCCAAAGAGATTTTTATTTATTTATTTATTTTTTGCACCAGACAAAGCTGCCAATCTGAGTACGAGTTAACCTGTTCAGAAAGATCCCTTAATTCTCTGTACTTCAATGTCCTCGTCTGTCCTGTGGTTCCTGAGAGAAGAATGCAATTGGCTTCAATCTGAGTACGAGTTAACCTGTTCAGAAAGATCCCTTAATTCTCTGTACTTCAATGTCCTCATCTGTCCTGTGGTTCCTGAGAGAAGAATGCAATTGGCTTCACTGTTTCTATGACAACCAATTCTACAGCCATCCCACTTTCAAGTACCAAGTTCAAAATCTGTGTACTGCTATTAACCAGTCACTTGGCTTCTCAGAAAACCAGAATCACCAGACATCACCACATTCACTCCTACTGCTTCTCTCTCCACACATCGAGACCAGGTCTCAGCAAACTTTTTCTGTAAAGAGCCACACAAAAAGTTTCAGTTTTGCAGGCCATGCAGCCTCTGTCACCACCACTCAACTCTGCTCTTACAGGGCAAAAGTAGTCATAGATAATCTGTAAACATGACTGTAGCAGTGTTCCCATAAAACTTTGTTCATGAACTAAAATTTAAATTTCATATAATTTTCACAAGTTGCAAAGCATTTGATTTTTTTCAACAGTTCAAAAACATAAAACCCATTCTTAGCTCCAAGGCTGTAAAAAACAGTTGGCAAGTTGGACTTCCCTGGCAATCTAGACTTTTCCCTATGGTGCTCCTTTGATGCATGGCTTAGAAATTAAAAGCAGCAGCAAGAGCTGAGTAGTACTTTCTGAAAAAAGGTTCTGCAGAATCAGCTGGCTGACTTCTCTACTCTTTTTTCTTCTTGCCTGCAATTGTAACTTACAAATAGTTTGAAATTAGAAGAATTGAGACAGCAGGGACTATGAAACTTGTTTATATTTAATCATAACAATGGTGACTGATAAAAAATGTTTTCACTTCTTTAAAAAGTTATATTAAAGTCTTCTCATTATAGAGATAATTTATCCATTTTAACTGATAAGAAATTCTACTTCTTCCCTCTATCCTCCTGACTCAAAGTTTGTTGCCGGAATGAATAAAACATACATAGAAGCAGTGAGCTATCAGTTTTCATCTATAAGAATGGATTAAAAAAAAACAATTAAAAAGATTAACAATACTGGATTTTATAATGCTGGGAATAAATATGTACTCTCAAATATGTACTCTCAGTGGTTATGTAAACTGGTACAATCCTTCTGGAGGGCTGTTTGGCAAAATTTAACAAAGGTTAAAAGGTACATAACTTTTAGGACTGGCGGGTTAGCTCAGTTGGTTAGAGCACAGTGTGATCACACCAAAGTCAAGGGTTGGGATCCCTGTACCGGCTGGCAAAAAAAAAAAAAAAAAAAAAAAACGTAAACTTCTTGACTTAACATTTAAACTTCTAGAAGTTTATCTGAAGATAATCAGACAAGTCAGCACATATGTATATACAGTGAGTTTTATACTTTGAAGAATTCTTTATAATCATGAAAAGATTAAAACTATTTAAATGTCCAACAGAGGACCTGGTTAAATAAACCGCGGGTGGTATACAATGGAATTCTAGGTAGCCATAAAAATAATGATGTAGATAAGTAGTTGGCACAGATGTGTCCACAAAATATTGAAAGAAAAAAGCACATTATAACACTGCATGTACTATTTCATCTCAATTGCATAAATTTCTATATATGGTGTTTGTATATGTACCAGTGTGTGTAAGAAACAAGAAAAACAGAGAAGCAGAGAAGCAGAGAGTTAAAAGAATGTTCACAAAGATGTTCACAGTGGTTACAACTGAATGGCAGGAGTTTAAATGATTTTTACTTTCTTGTTTATATTTTTCTGTATTATTTCTATTATTTTGCAATGAGCATGTTTCACATGTACCACTCTGGTGCAGGAGTTGATAGTGGGGAAGGCTGTGCCTGTGTGAGGACAGGGGGTCTATGGCAACTATCTGTACTTACCACTTAATTTTGCTGTGAACCTAAAACTGCTCTAAAAAATAAAGTCTATTAAAAAAAAACAGGCTTGTTAAAATAATTCTTATTCAAACAATTCAAAAGTTCTGCTCATTAGAAATAATTTGAAGCCCACAGAAGTGATTTTGAAAGGATTTTTATCAGAGGCCGTTTTATAATACTGCAAATTGCTCAGTGTGTACAGGGATAGCCAAGAGAAGTATTTATTACATGAAGTCCTGAGTTTCAGTTAGCTAGCGGTTCCCCACCAGAAACTGATAAAAGAGTGCTCTCCTCTTTTGAGAACCCGGCTATTTTATGCATTCACTCTGAAGATACTTCACTGTTTCTCTCCTGTTATTTCTGATTTAATAGAATGTCTTCAGCGAAAGCTTAGAGGACTTCAGACAGAGTTAGATAATCAAGGGCTCAAGAAAAGCAATTTAACACTTTGTCTTAGATTAGCTTTAACATGGAGTTCTAGCTGGGGTATGAGACCCTGCTGCTAAGAAATAAGCTGGTCTTAAGGGGGTTTAATGGAAGAACAAATGCCAAGATGAGATTCTGCTGATAAGCCGTTTTCGTTACATTAATAAGGGGCATTCTGATGCTACTCTGAGGGTAAGATCAGCATTGGAATAAATTAATGGGCAAACACTAAATTTTACCTCAATTTTCATTTTATTCTTTATAAGAAATGTGTATGTATATTATAATTTATACTTCTTCTACTTTGCCATATGCATATTTGTACATACACATCATCTATATCTACTTTTAATAGAGCAAAAGGTTTAACAGTCTCCACATCAAATACATATCTTGCAGTCAAAACTATCTGAATGAGATCCAGATTTATTTTTAACTGTTGAAAAAACTGCAGAAAAAGTCTGCCTTGCCAAAAACTAAATCTTTAAACCTGCTTAAAAAGAACTGGCACTATCATAAGGATTTGCAAACTGTAGTAGTATATGAGTATCTTAAATTAACAATGGCTATTAACAAGTTTACAGTGGAAATCAAGTCCCTAATGTGTCAAGGTTCCAAATCACAATTTTTCAACAACCCTACTACCAAGTCATACTATGTTTGAATTTCAATGCAAATGAAGCTTAATTTACAAAGGCTCTATTAATAATTTATGAAATATCCCCAACAACATCAAATTGTTACACTAGGTAAAATAAATTTAATATTAATGGTATTTGATCAAGTTTAGCGTTATACACACAAAAGGAGAATAAGCATTTTGGGTTCCTTTGTTATTCTCATCAAGATTAGTGCTAACTTGCTAGAGCATACTTGTTAGCTTCCCTTGGGAAACACCTAAAGTTAAAAATGCAGTTTATTTTGGAGCATAATTCTGGTGTCAAGACATTCTTATCATGCAGGCATTCTCTTTAATGATACCATTTTTTGGCTGGGCAGTTTTTCTACAAATACAGAGCTCTTTCACCTCAAAAGTGGTGAAACAACATAGTGCAATGATTCTCATGGTAAATCCTTGTTTCCTATAGCTCTCTGGGTTAATAGTCAGAAAACACATTATTACGGATCCACAAGAAACAAAGAAACTCAAAATTACTGAGAGAAACTGTCAAATTTTTCAAGTTAAGAAACACTGCTAGTAGCATTGAGAAAAATAGCAGCATACCTCAAACATACAAATGCCACAGAACTTCTTCACAGAAAGTATCCACACATTTCTTAGCCATATTTTATTTTTAGGCTTTTATATATTAATGTGTGAAAAACGGATTCAGTTTAAGACAATCTGATTTCCCTCATCCTCCAAAAACTTAACTTGCTTTAAAAAGGAGTCACATCATGGAGATCCCCTAACAATGCGAGGAGCTTCCCCAGGGCACAGACCTGAACTCAATCCAACATAGATGCTGAATTCCCATGCAATACCCCAGTATACAACAACAACAAAAAACTTTATCCTCACAACTATCCTAAGATATTTATTATCCCCATTTTTTAAATTGAGTATTTTATAGCCCAGAGGTTAACTACCCTGCTCAAAGTCACAAAGCTAGAGGCAGGGTTTAAACACGGGCAATGCAATGAAAACATTTTTAACTGCCTCCCTCTTAGGCAAGAGACATGAATTCTAGTTCTGCACCTACACCAAACATGGGCCCCAACAGGGAAGGACATCTCATCTCCGTCTCCTGACTGCTTCTCCTCTAACAAGAATGTGCTAATGATCTGTTCTGTCTTCCAGGATTGTTGTGAGAACATAGAATTAAAAGAAAAAGAAACTTTTGAAAAATTAAAAGCTCTAGATAATTGTGCTGTGTGCTAAATATATCCAACTCTGCATATTCCAGAGACACAGAAATTACCCTGTAAAATACAGAGAAGAACCTAACAGTGTTTCCTTTGCAGCCATCTTGGAGTATCTTTTCTGGTGTACATCTGCAAGCCTGTAAAGTGACAGACCATTGCACAGGAAGTCGAGGTATTAGTTACAAAGCAAAACACCATGGACAAGGCAATACAAAAAATGGATTTGACATTTACTGTTGAGGACAGCCAAGCAGTTTCAAAATACAACAGCGTATATAGTCTGTATCCAGAGAAACATGTTTTCTCTTTTAATAAAAATAAATCTTGATTTTAAAAAACATACTAAAATGCTTTAATTTCAAAATGTCAAATGCTGAGAGAACAGGATAATGATTTCTTAAAAATGTATAGAATTCTGATAAACAAAGAGCAAGAATTCTTTCTTACCTCCCACATGTATACATTATTCTTAACCTGAGATCTTTTTTTCTTGTCACCAACAAATGGCCCGAACTTTTTGCCTTTTAAAATTGGTTTAGTGGCCCAGACACCTAGAAAACAAAACCAATATTTTTATAATTTATTGTGGTTATTTTAAAGATTGAAAGCATTAAAGTCAATTCAGGTTCACAAAATAGTTAAAAGGTGAGACTGCCTAAAAGCAAGATAATGTTAAATCAACTGAGATTAAGTTAAATCAAATTAAATCAAGTCCTCAATGGGGACTTTTATTTTTCTTCTTTATATTCTGCTGTATTTTCCAAATAGTCTGTAAAGAACGTATACTGTTTTATAACTGGAAAAGAATATTTTATATTTGTCTTTTAATTTTTACATGTAAAATTACCCACACAGTACAATCACAAATACTTGAAGAATAACATAATCACAACTAAAGAGAAAAAAATATCAGAATGGAATGAAATTAGAAATAATTTTTAAACTCCTCTTTCTGCTTTTCTACAGATTTTTAATTGTCTTTAATAAACATGAGTTGTTTTTATAAAGGGTTAGAAATATAGTTTTATGCATAATATTTCTGAAGTTCATTTGCTTAAAATGGAAAACTCTCCTCCCTAGCTGAGCTTCCTGAAGACAGCTACTGGAACAATATGCTTTTCGGAGTTTCGAATGGCCAAACCATACACTCATCCACAGTACTCTTAGGGTTATTTCTATTTTCTACGCACTGACCATAAAGCAAATAGATACGCTGAAGAAGCAGTCAGTAAAATGGCAGGAGCCCAGCTGAGGAATCAGGGGCACTGGCACACAGCATCGTTTTGGACAAGTTCCCTCACCTTTTGGCCTCAGTTTCTTCACATACAGAATGTGGGCTGGAGGCTGGGCTAGTCCTGTCCAGTTAGGATGTACAAATTCCACCTTTCTGTAAGTCTGCTATGAACTGCATTGGATAACACTACTAAAAGTCAATTAGTTGAGCTATAATATCAACCACTTTTGATATAAATACTCAAATTGCTCATTGAATACGTTTTCAATGAGAATTAGGAAAAGCATTTATTAAAACTGTACCCCAATACATATATTTATAACCTGGAATATCAAAAGTACATCCAAAAAAAGAAAACAGGATATAAACATGACATATTCCAAGATAGTATTTTGACTAAGTTTTTATAGTTTACTTCCTTAGCCTTCTGTCTAAAGATAAGGCCACAAAAACAACACCGAACACACACAAGCTTCACTTGTGTTCAACGAGAAATCCCAGCCAGAAGCATTTAGATACACTCAGGTCGTGTCATTCATTCAAATATCTACTGAGGGTCTATAAAGTGGCTGGTACTGGAGACATAAAGATAAATAAGAAACGAAGGCACTCACAATCGATGACAGTGACAGATGTAAAAACAATTACAAAATAATGAAATAAATGTAATAACATAATCCTACTCTAGTCATGGTGAAATCAGAGAGGAAGGAACAACATTCTGTGGAAAGAGGCCCAGGGACATGCAGAGGAAGGGGACACTTAGTTGAGTCACCAAGGAGGGTATGTGTTGTGGCACGTGTGTATGTGGTGTGAATGTGCATTCTGGGTGGGTGTGTATGTACTCCTGGTTTTATTTTTATAATCTATGTCCACCCTGGATTCTTGACTGGAAAATGCACAAATACTACATCATTTTCCAAGTCAAGGGTAGATGCTCCCTACCCGACACGCCCCCACAGGAAGCCTCACTGCCCATCTGGCTCTGTGACCAGAGTACTCACCGATCCGGGTCTTGTCGACAGCAGATGGGAAAAGTCTCACTTCCTCTGGAAGTCCTCGCAACACATGTTCAGGTACCTCGGCCAGCGTTTCAGTGGCTGCCACAGGCTCAGTAGCACTCTGCAAGTCAAGAAACAGAAGGATCATAGCAAAAGGAAGAAAACCCAAGTAGCATTTTTTCCTTCTGGTCCAATAAGCAAATATGCAAAAAAAAAAAAAAAAGTAACTGAAACCTGAAGCTGGCAAGCCAGACCAAAATGATGATGTCAAGCACATTTTGGGAGTTACTCTGAAGCTTGCTTGTGAATGTCCAAAGGAAACCACTGCAACCTTCAAGCATGTCTGTGTTAATCTATTTGTTCCAGCCACCTGTAGCCATTTTCAAAACATGTAAATCTCTGGCACCATATTGCTTAAAAGTCAAATAGAATCTGGCAGCAAAATACAGCTTAAGCTTACTTTAAAATGAATGGCTACCAATAGCATGTTGCACTTTTAAAAAATAAAAATCAACACTCCCCACTTATATGAATACTTTTAGCACATACCAGAAAGGTCACACTGGCCAAACTTGACCTTGCCCCATCCTGGCTTCCTTCCAGCAACAACCCACAACACAACCAGGGCTTGAATATTACACCCAAGAACACTACAGCTTATTTTGGTCCCTCACTGGAAGTGCAACCTTTCCAGGAAACAGTAATTTACCACTGCATATCAAGTCACCACTATGTCACAAAGTTGTCAAGAAACAGAGAGTTTTATACCATTACTTATCAAAGTTTAGGCTGGAATTCATCATAATCTTAAGAAATAAGATTACTATTAGATATGTATGTAAGGAAGGGAGAGATCTTAGCCATCTGGTAGAACATGACTGTTATTTTAAAAATAACTTCCAAATCAAAGGAAAACCAAGTGCCTATTACCTGGTACACATACACCCTAAAGAACTGATGTCTATATCATGACACTCTTAAAGAATGATGGGTTTTGCAGCCTGAGTGTGCTTTACTTCAGTGCAAAGGGAAACATTTCTCAAAGATTTTCAAAGGAACCAAAGTGGGCAAAAAGCCATCTACAAGCTAAAAAAATTAATTACTCCCACAACGATGAAGCTTTTGTAGTTTTTAAGAATGTTGTGTACCAAGAAAAAAATATCATCCATATATGCATGCTCCCAGAATTTCAATTTTTGTTTATTGTCATGACAATAGGCTGCTTCCAGAGAAATAAATCCCAAGTCATTATGAAAGTCTACTCTCTGGCCTGCTTCGAGTTGGAAAGGCCAAGAGAAGTCATCTAGAGACAGGTTCATCTTCTGGGCAAACCAATGGTGCACGTGCTTCAGAGGCACAAACACCATGCTCCTGCTTGACTCTCACCTTCGTCCTGATGACATCCCCCAAATGCCTTCCAAAGCATAGGAGCATCAAATTCACCCCAGAAATCGGTTTTATGGTACTTTCAATCAGCTAAATTGTAAATAAATTAAAATTTTTTTAAATTTAAAAATGTTAATCTATAAGCTGAATTTTAAAATTTTAATCTATAAACTGGATTTTTAGAACTGTGAATAAATTTTTTCCAAGGGGAGAGCAGGTATTAAATTGATAATTGTCACCCTAGGCTACATAACAATTTACAGCACCGATAAATGAAGCAATATTAACAAATACTAGCCAGAGTTATGAGTCCTATCAGCACTGGCCACTTAGCACAGTAAGGGAGAGTTTTCTTTCCCTTTCTCTGACCCTAGGCAAAGATGACACCATTTAACCTCCCCAGGAGCCCCGCACTTTGAAAAGACTGTCTGCTAACCTAAACTGAAACTTTCAGGCCTTGTTACAGTAATACTAATAACAACTTAACATTTACTGAGAACTTCCCCCATGCAAGGCACTATGCTAACCACCTACGTGCTTGATAGACTATCAGTGTCTCCCCTCACACAGCACAGAGGAGGAAACTGGAAGTTTCCTTAGGGAAGTTGCCTAAAGATTGAACCCTTGTCTGTCCCACTCTAGAACCCAAGCTTGTAGCCACTCTGAAGTTTCCATTTAAGATTCTGGGGGATATAATATATAGAACTCTGCCCTCAAACCTCCAGACTTCCATGGAAATGTCAGCAGAAGATGGTGCCTAACATGGGAATGGTCACTCCCATAGGAAATTTTGTTACCTGAGTATAAGTTAGAGACCACATGTATTAAAATTTCAGAAACACCTGTGAATATAAAGGACCTCAGCAGAGCTGCCGTGGGAAAAAGAAATAAGAAAAATTCCAATGAATTCGTTTACCTGCTTTAGGTCAACTCATTACTTTCCATCTGGGCTCATTTACCTGGTAAAGGAAAGTTTTTTTACTGTTTATTACAGTATCTTTCACACTACAACAGGAATCAACTAACATAGGAGGATCTCAATTCACAGCAACACCGTGCAGACACCAGCCAGCCCCAGGATCTTCCCTACCCCATCTAGCTGCCAGAATCTCCACTGCGGTGGTTATGCTACAAATTACTTGGAACATTTTCAGAAAATCAATGACTCAAGAAGAGATGAGGTAGAATAGTGAGATGGCCACCTAAATAGTACCGCCCTCTCTTCTTCCTTGTTTCTCCTTCATACCTCTTAGCACAATTTTAAGTAATTATTTGTATTATTATGTGTTTAATGTGTGCCCCCCCCCCCGTGGGACTGCAGCAAAGACAGAAGGTATCTATCATATTCGATGCTGCCTTCCCAGTGCTCAGCAGTAGACTTGAAACGTTTGCTGTCACTTAAATACTTGAATGAGTTAATAATTCTTTGTAAAGCTAACTTGAACCTTTTCTTGGAAGAGGGACAGAAATAAGTAAAATAGCAGGGTCATCTATCAGGAAACATTTTTCCACGTGTGCCTCAATTTCTTGAATTTGAGGTAGGTTATCTTCTAGATCAATGTAAGAATACTTTTTTGAAAACGTGATATGTTATCAATTCTAAGTAATCGATTTACAAAAGAACATTTTTTTTAAAAATCTCTCCCTCACACACTCATAAACTTTTTTTATACATATTCTGATAGAATCAGATGTAATATCATACTCTAAGCAGGGTCTTAAGCTAAAGAATCACAATTTGATCCTTGATTATTTCCCAGATTGATCTTGTCTAAAATAAATTGCAATATCTACTCAATTTTAATATATTAAAATATTTCTGAGTCCCTCCTGAGGGCCAGGCAACAGTCTAGGTGTTACCTCTGCCTCAACTGTGCCTCCCTCTGGTGAGGAAGACAGACAAAATCAAACATATACAATGCCCGAGGCTCTGAAGAAAAACCAAGCACCCACAGGGCACACAGTGATGAGGCAGAGCAGGGGGGGCCATCTCAGATAAACTGCTTAGGGAAGACCTCCCCAGAAGTAAAAAAGGAATCATGTGACAGAACAGGTGGAAATGTGCCAGGAAAAGGACACAGCAAGGACCAAATCCTGGGTTAGGAAGAAACCTGGTGTGCTTAGAGAACAGACAGGCAGAAAGACCAAAGTGTCCACAGAAGAGGAAAAGGGAGCAGCAGCTTGAGCCGAGGCAGGAGGGGCAGGCATGGGCGATGCTATATGAAAAAGTGGCACCATGTGGTTATCAACAGGCATGAGAGGAGTAGTGGGCGACCAACCAGAGCACGTGCAGCAAGCTTGACAAGGACCCAGCTGCGGCTCCCTCCAGGGCGGCTCTGGGATCCCCTTTGCCCAGAGATGGCTCAGTCTCCCGGCATCCCTGTCCTCGCTGCCACTGAATAAAGAAACATTCCTGTTTCAGGGGGTTGTAACACTGATCACCACGATATATATGGAAGAAGCTGAAGGATTTCCCTGCTTTCCTATCATGTGGACCTCAATGAGGACTCTTATTTTACTTAATGAAGTACAGTCTCCAAATGTATCAGTGCACAAACGGGTCTAGAACAGTATGTACTAAATGTAATGTGTTAAATTTGTTAACTTAATTACTTAGTTATTAACCATCAATTGATCTTGTTAATCCAATGTTTCCAACTTGCTACCTCAAACTCAAAGGAAGTTAATTAATCCCAATTAAGGACTACAGGCTCTCTCCTTCATTCAGTCTATCATTCACCCATCAAGAACTACTTCCTGAGTGCCCACCCTGGGCTGGCAATGTGCCGGGTGGTGAGGGTACGGGGCTAATAAAGCCAGTCAAGGCCGCTCCTCATGAAGCTCACTGGCTAGAGGAACTTCTGCTTCTGCCACTTAGGACAAGAAACCTTAGAGAGATTTTGCTAGTTTTGACCTTGCTGGGGTGCCTCTGAAAGGTCCTTCTACCGCTTTCCCATGATTCCTTTCCTTTGACCCGGGATGACTTTCCCTTGCAGGGCGGGGTGGGGAGCTTGGGGAGTACAATGTCTACTCCTTCCTCTGAGCCAGGATCTGTGCTATGCACTTCACCTGCGTTACCTCATTTAATCCTCACGACAACAGTAACTACAGCTAACACTGACGGGTGTTCAGGGTATGTCTGACAGCATTCCAAGCACTCTATCACCTCATTCAATCTTTACACTACCCCATTTTACAGACAAAATTGAAATTTGCACATAGTCACAGCTGGTAAGTGGCAGAGCTAGGTAATTCTAATCCGGTCAGGCTTCAAGGTCTGAACTCTCAAATACTATACCGTAGAGCAGTCCTGTGGAGTAACTCTCCCAGGCTACACAGTTTTAAAGTAGTGGGGCCAAGATAAAATCCAGACAGAATCCAGAGTCCACATTTTAACACTAACCCAGTGGGACCTCGTACCACATAGTCCAGGGATTCCTTTCAGGGGTCTATAAGGACAGAGCTATTATCATAACAACACTCTCAAGTGTGTAGAGTGAAGTTTTCTGAAGGCTATCATGTGTAATGATATCACCTTTCTGGAGGGTAATGAAACGTGTGATTGCTTAATTTTGTGTTCTAAAATTGTCTGATTTGTGAATAAGGCCTGTAGTCTAACTAACATTATGTACCAAATCAATTTCCTGGTTTTCATATCGTACTAACTACAGCTATGAAAAATGTTACTGCTGGAGAAAGCGGAGTTAAGAAGGGGACACAGGACACTACTATTTT